ACCCCCGAAAATGGTCAAAAGGGCCTCAGAACTCCAGCACAACTTAGATTTTTAACTTTTGTTTCTTGATTTTTTTGGTTTTTGTTTTCTTTAAACCACCAGCACTTCCTAAAGTCGTTTCCGTAAACAAGCCACAACTTCAGGAAGCGTACGGGCCACTACTGCGGCGCCCAAATTCGTCCGACTAGACACGTTTGTAGCTTTGTACTCTAGTTTTTTTCCACGGCCGATCGCTGGGCCAAGTACTGGTGGTTTTAACAGGGACCTTCGGTGGCCCTTGCCCGGCCAAGCCGCTCGGGCAACCAAGGTGAAAATACATATTCAATTATTTAATATTTATGCAGCCCAGTTGGGTAACACAGCTATATATAGTAAATAAATTAAAATAATACATGTATAAATATTAAATAAATTAAAATAATTGAATATGTATTTTCTCTGTGACTAGATACGTAAGGCAGAGTATCATATAGAGTGTTATAGATATGAATATGTATGTCGCTTATAGTACCATCAGTCAGGGGACTCTGCAGACTGCAGAGGGTTCAGCCTCCTGACGAGTCAGCCGGTGAAACTCTGACATAGCAGTCGGTCGCAGCCCCTCGTTTGTTTTCCTCTTCTCCCTCTCCGCCTGCTGCTCACTGGGAAGCTTTCTATGACGATATATGCTTTTTTTTTTTTTCCCTTTTGTTTTGATATATCACTCGTTCCTTATAATATAGGTGTAAAAAAAAAAAAAAACAYTAATAATAATAATAATAATAATATAGCCTATAGGTGTATACTTTGTGTGCATATAGTTTATTATTTTCTCTGTGGCTAAATATATAATATAGCCTTTATGTAGGTGTATTTTCTCTGTGGCTAGCGCCTGACGTCATGCATTGCTGAATGTCACGCATTCGTCAGGGTTTTCAATTAAATGGCCCGGGATCATAACAATTATTAAATTTGGAAAACCTCTCAAAAAATACTTGGTCTGACCATCGCATATCCAGTACTACCGTCTTCACCCAAATAGAACGCCCCGACCATGACAGCTGTATTTGGGGCGATTTTCAATCCAGATGCAGCGATAATGACCGGGCCGGCGTTCTATTCAGGTGAAGATGGTAATGGAGGTGTCATCACTTAGGCTGCAGGCAGCACTCAGTAGATACGATGGGAAGTCTCCGGACCTGGGGCCAAGTCCGACTAGCTGTGGTGAGTTCCCTCAACGCCTGAATCTGGACATGTTTGTGGAGATGTGCGGTTGTGGAAGGTCAACGGAATTTCTGCACCTCCAGATTCAGGCGTTGAGGGAACTCACCGCTGCTAGTGGGACTCGGCCCCTGGTGTGGCTGAATGGTAGGCAGATGATTCACGAACACATCGTGTGATTGTGATGGATATACATTGGATGGAATAATATTAGGGGCTGAACCCCCTTTGCGTTATATTGAAAAATGAAAAGAAAATGAAGTGCTGAGGTTGCAGCTACTTCGTCAGCTTTAATAGAATGCTCTTCGTCGTTTGGGCCTCGGGCTACCAGACCAAATGACATCTAAAATAATAATATTAGGTGATGGTATGACTGATGGTGTTGTTCCTGGAGCCAGAAAGACTAATCGAGCAATGAAAGACTAATCGAGCAATGAAATCTATGATGTTTTACAAGCCTATTTTGGTGGGAATAACAAGAGCATCATTAAATACCGTAGTTTTATATCAGAAGCCTCATTCCAAGAAACAACTCGTGTATTAACTAAGGCTGCAAGCGGTAGAGCGCCTCGTTTACACGTGCGTTAAGGTGTTTAAGCAATGGAAATCGGTGCATTCGATCTACAATAGATATCCGATGTAGCAAAGATTATGTCTTACTCATAAATTTTTATTTGGGGAAAATAGCATGACATAAGAAATACTGTTGATTGGCAAAGGGAAAAAAAAAAGTTTCACACGCTGTTCGTCTTCTATTGGCTTGCAGCAGAAACCAGGAAACCCGCTGTCGGGGAAAATAGACTCAGAGGTACTGCTGGCTTTAAACGACCATTACCTTTCCCAGCCATATTGCCGAGACGTGCCGGTCAAGGTGGAGGCCGAATTCGGCTGGCGGGTGCGGCCAGATGCGGCCGCAAAGCTTGGCGTGCAGGGCCCGCGGCCAACATATGGGAAAGGTACTGGCGGTTTAAGGGACCAGAAGAAAAAAAGAATGCGCCCATGGGAAACACTTGCAGAAAATAAGCCAGTGATTAGAAAACTAAAATTAAAAGTCACATCCTTGAGGTATCTCCTCCGTTCCATTGGTTGACCCCATTTGACACCATTCGGGCTTTGCCACGGCAGGGCAGCACCATATGGGTGTGGCCCAACCCGCGGGTCGTTCTTCCATCCGAGCAGGGCTCCCATCCTGTCTTCGAAACCCACCCCCCTAAGAACACGAAGGGTGGATCTCGAATTGAAATTCCGCCTGCATTTCCGCAGCTAAATGTATTTGTATTTGTATTTGTATTCAAACGCAAGTTGACGGGGCGCACCCTCCACTGCTCCGAGCTCAAACATGCGCCGAAGAGCCTCCGTCCAGCACTCCACTATGTGTACTTATTTCCGAAAATGAGCCGGAGGGTCTCGCTCCGCTGCTCGCTGAACAATAAGACCGGTTCTTCTCGCTGGATCATGTGAAAATACAGTGCCGCATTTTTTGTCTTTTGTGCATGCGAGCCCCTGTGTTCTTGTATCCGATCACGAGTCCATGTAAGCAAAACTAGGCGAAAAAATGTCTGAATCCGAACCATCGGGCATCAAATAAATCGACGTGACGGAACACAAAACCAACAACTACAAGAACAAATATATATTCAGCCTCCTGATGAGTTGGTGAAACTCCGACGAAACAGTTTGTCACAGCCCCTCGTTTGTTGTCCTCTTCTCTCTCTCTGCCTACGGTTTACCGGGCAGTTCTGTTTGTGACGATATATATATATAGAAACAGTTTGTCACAGCCCCTCGTTTGTTGTCCTCTTCTCCCTCTCTGCCTACGGTTTACCGGGCAGTTCTATTTGACATATATATATATATACGTCCTCCCGTCAGCCAATGGCCTGCAAGGCAGCGAATTTGTTTCCTTCTCGTCAACCGTCAGGATCACATCCTCGCCCCCCCTCTCCCCCACCCCCCCATCCCCCCCTTTTCCAGGTTGCAATATTCCTTTTTTTTTCTCCCTATATTCTTCTCTCAATCATTCATCATCTTTCAAATTATTCTTTCAATTCACCTTCACTACATACCTACCTACCTACCTACCACTGAGGGGATTCAAATCATGCTCCTAAGGCTTATACAGGGGACCCCTTTCAATTCTAATCATGCTCCTAAGGCTTATACAGGGGTGCAAAACATAGCTTTGTTGCCTTCCTCCAGCCATCAGAGGGGATTCATGTTGTCCCCCGCCCCAACTGTGGTGGTCAAGGATGGAG